AAGATACCAAGATGCATTTTTATAATAACCCATGTCCATGTGCATTAAAATTTAATACTTTTCAACTAATGTACTTTAAATTCACAATGGAAATTTATTTCAACTTAACTTATTTGATGGATAGGCCCTTATACACTGGGAAACAGTTTTCCATGGGGACAGCTGGAATCTCAGCCACCAGACGCTTGTATGTAAGTCTCCATGTTCTCATGTGAGTGATCAGTATTTACTCAGCAGTTGTGGAGAACTACTCATGTGAGTAGAAACTAAACAGTCATTAAGAACTCTATAATGAGTAACAATGAAGGAAGTACATTACTTTTGAAATCAAACTGCAGTCACTATCTCAAGCTTTGCAGTCACTTACTAATGAGGTATTTGTTGTGACTAACATATACAATGTGGCTGAAAAAATATTTTTTAGATGTCATGATGCTGTCTGAAATAGGCTGTAAAACTTGAGCATGACTTTCTATTGAAAATATTAATTTATTCTAAATGGAAAATATGAGAAGAATTGTAAACATGAAAAAAGAGGAAAATTTCACTTTAAATTTCTTGGGTTTCCTGTTAAGAAAATATTGAATTTGCCAAGTATAATAGTTCAAGCAGCAAACCTATACTGCTGCTGATAAAAAAAAAAAAAAAAAAGAAAAAAGGAAGAAGTTAAATTAATACTTTGGGAAAATAATCACTTTATAATAGGCAGAAGTAATCAGGAAATACTGATGTGGTTCTTGAGTGCGTTTAAGATGATGTTTTAAATGACATTTTAAAAGGATAGAAATAGCTAAATTTGGTCTTTAGGCACGGAGGTGGCTTTGCAACATTGCTATTGCTACCCAAACTATCCAGTCAAGAGATCTGATATATTAAATGACGGTTAAGATGCTGACATTTTAAATTTTTTCTGTTTTTTTCAAGGTTGTGCTGTTATTGCATCTACTGCAAGTCAGTATACATATTTTTAGCAGAATATCTCATATAAAACTATGGGAAACGATTTTATGTTTGTTATCCAAGACATGGAGAAATTGTTTTAATATTAATGATGCCTCTCAACTGAATTTGCATAGAAAAGGATTTTATGCCAGTGAGTCAGCTTAAAGTATATTAGATCCTGCTTTAGGGCAGTGACCTTCTCCCTTTAGGATGGGAAATTTATTTTTAAAGTGCACAGATACTAGATTAAGAAAAATTCAGCCAGTTGATGCCAAGGCTTGGGAGCAAAGTTAGAACTCGCCTTTATTCGAAGTGGATAGCATGTAGCATCTAAAGGTTATGGATTGCACAGTCATACATAAAACTCTTGACTAAAACTTTAAATGGAAATAAATTCTTTAACTGCTTGACCCAAGACTGATTGAGAACATACCCTTTATATCCTTGACACAGAACACTAGCAATATATTGGTAAGGTTGTTTTAAAGCTATTATGTACAACTTCATATGTCTTTCAGAATTTCTGCCACTAAAATCTAAGATACATTTATAGGTTACTCTAACCATCCATGTTTTCACGTTATGTTGAAGTGCTGCTGAACTTCTCACTAAATTAATTATTTGTGTAGACTTCAATTTTCCTGTTAAAGATTTACATATAGTGACCTGTAGGACAGAACAGACCTGTCAGAAAACAGACCATTTCTAGAAAAAGTCATAGATTATAAAGAAGAATTTCCAAAGTTTGCTAACATGTTGAAAACTGATTTACTTTCCTCAAATAAGCAGTTTGGAATGTGCTAGACACTTTTTACAGTGATCCAGGCAATGGCTTTGCTGCTTGATGTTAGTTAGTAAGTTATCTCAATAAACATTGGAATTTGTTAAATTTGTTAAGCAATAGACTACAAAATAGAAATTTTAAAAGAATCAATGTAAAGAAACTTATGGAATGAGAATCTCTTCTGTAATGAGTCAGAAGGGGTCACTTCATAATTACATCTGCAAGGAGTCAGAACAAATTAATACTCTTCTAGCAAACTGGTATCTTCTAGACAAGTGAATGTATACATGGTCTGTCCATATATGCATAAGTGCCTGTATAGGTGTATAAAATGTATGAAGTACAAACACCTTTCTACGATGTCAAAATTAATTTTGAGAAACTTTTTTTTATTGTTTTATTGACAGAGAAAAACTACAAAAGTATTTATAACAATGACATCAGGCATGCAATCATAGCCAATTTTGGCATTTAATATGTGAAGCATATATGATTTGTCTTGCTATATAGAAACCATTTGTAACAAACTCGCTCTTTAAGGACACATCACAGATTACAATTACATAGGAAGGTTTTCTCTGAGACTGTTTTAACATACCAACATTTTGGCACCAATTCTGTAATTCTAAATCAATAGACACGTAAAGAGCTTAGATTTATAGAGAAGTCTTCATCATTTGTATAGATCCAACTCTAAGTTACATTTTATTTACAGACTAAGAAATAAAACTATTATGGTGTTTAGATGAGTGAAATTACATCTGACGTAGGAAGTCTACTGACCTTAAAATAATTGTGGGCTCAAAATGAGTTAGGGATAATGTCATAGCTACCTCCCTTGTTATTATTTTTTCTAGATATTTATTTAGGACCATTGCTTGAAACAACATACTGCAGTAGATGGACCTCTGGTGTGACTAGATTGTCTTTTGTATTTCCTCTTCTTTAGTACCAAAATGCTTGCCATTTGCTCTTTGTCTAGCAAAGCTAAGAAATAGTTCTATGAAAGAAAAGAGTGAATTTTGTAAGGAAGAACTGTGTACAGAGTTACATTTCCAACCAATAATGATATAAAACCCAACACTCTAACAGCAGCAGGAAGATCAATGATTAAGTGGATAGATTGCTCCTGGGCAGGTTCCTGGGCTGATTCAATGTGTCTGCTGTCCCATGGACTGGATGATCCACAGGAGGGTTGAATGACTGCTGGCTGGCTGACCATTGTCAGTCATTCTGTGACATAACCTCTGCACTGAGAAGTATTGGTTCAATCTTCTTCTCTGATAACTTTTCCTAACCCCCTTTGAAAGTATTTTTGATTAACAACAGAAGCTGTACTTCAATATTTTTCATCAGAAAAATCAAGGATTTTTTGCACTGCTAGTATCAACAACCTGGAAAATGGGTATTATATCTACCAACTGTCAAACTATTAGGTTTGCCAATAACTCTAAATAAACTTTAACTGCAAACTTTCTTTCTCTTTGTATTGTTAAGTGACAATTCACATGTGAAGTTAAGTTTTTAAGACTGGAAATTTTCCTGCCCTGACAATATGCATGAGAAACTGACAAATCTTTATTCTCAAGGTGTTTTTTTTCTCCTCCAGTTTCCTAAGGCTTTTTGATGCATTGCCATATACTTCCATCTCAGGCTTAGGCTATTCTGTTGTGTCCACTCTCCAAAAATTGCCCTCACAACTGCAGTTGAGGTACTGAAATCTCCCCATTGCTTGTTCTACATGCTCAGAGCAGTAATGTTGTAAGTCTTGGACATAAAAAGGGAAGGTGAGGTGTCAGAACTAGCACTGACTGATACCCAAAACCATCAGTAAATCTTATTTGAAAGTCTTCTACTTCCTCTGCAGTTTCTTCTCCTGTGCTTCCTTCTCCAGTATGTCAAAGTTAATTTCTTTCTGTAAGATCTTACCTTTTGCCAACTGTAGACACCACTGATAGTGCCTATCAGGTTTGGTCAGATGCCTTGACTGTCAGAAGACATGCTGAGCTTTCCTCATTGGAACTTTTCATAGAGATAAGCAGCTGCTGAAAACCTAGGTTTTAAGGGTTCTAATAAGTTTATAGCAGTTAAATGGGCAGTGGTTTAAATTCCTTTTGAAAACTGACAGTGTCAGCCTTGTTGAAATCCTGTCTCCTGCAAGCAGTAGGACATGGTGTCTTCTCTTCTTTATCCAGATATATCTGTTCAATATTGCAGTCTCTTAAATTCTGGAAAAAACTGTGACTGGAAAATGGTCTGAAGGACATCACTTCATAATTATTGTCTAAATTTTAGAAGTATTACAAATCAGATTTATGATTCAAGTATTTTCTGCATGCATTTTAAAGGAGGGTTTCTTTGTTTTTGAAACTCCTTTCAAAGTTATACTCTGACGTAGAAGCAAATACATAAAAACTATGTTTAGAATCCATAAAAGTGCTGTAATTTTGTTCTACCATTTACCGCCCAAAAGTTGGGCTTGAGGTTTCATTTGACTGCTCTGTGTAATGATTCTATTACACCAAGAAAAAGTTAAGAAGAAAGTTGTTTTATTGACTTTTTTCCATCTGCACTGTAACTTGTAATCCAAGAACACAGCTATAACTAACCATTAAATGAAAGTATTTTGCCATTGGCACAATTCATGCAATTAGACTTCGCATAATATATGCAGTCATGCTTTCAATAGTCTATTTTTTCTTAAATTTCTGATAAGTTTAGGTTAAAATAGCATAAACTTATTACGTATTAGTGAGAAATTTCCAATCCTTAGAAAAACAAGAAATGAAAAATCTGGTAGGGTTTTTTTCTTGCTTTGGCTTTGCTCAGCCTTTACTATTCATCATATCTGCTGTGTTAAAATCCAATTAATAGCTCTAATTCATTTACACTGAAAGCACATTTATTATACAGTCCTTTTAGGCACTTCTTTTCTACTTGCACTGTTAAGTCTGGAGTATCAACATTAGATAATAGGTAATTTTTTTTTTGCCCATTGTAGCAAATTAGAACATTTCTTCTCTTTCTACATTACTTCTGAATGGCAAGAGTGTAGCCGGGAGGTAGAGGGATGTGAGCTGGCATACGTGGAATACTAAGATAGGATAATAACAGAAGGAGATCACCAAACTGGAGAAAGTCCAAAGAAGCACCACTAAAATAAAAGGTTGCGTGAGTGGCATGTAGAACATAGGGAAAAGGACTGAAGGAACTGGCTTTGTTCCACCTAGGGAAGAAAAGGCTATAGTGGAAGCAAATTGCAGTCTTTCCTTACCTTAGTAGGCATTACAGAGGAGAGAATTTTTTCCGAGATGCACCACAACAGCATAAGGAGCAACAGTCACAAGGTGCAGCAGGAGAGATTCCAGCTGGACACAAGGAATGAATTTTTCTCCACAAGAGTGGTTGCATGCTGGTGCAGGCTGCCCCCAGGCTGTGACACCTCCACCTTGGAGGTCTTCAAAACCTGACAGCCACAAGGCCCTTAGAAAACTGATCAAATGTCTAAAATTACCCTTGCTCTGAGCATCAGGGAGGTTGGGCTATATAATTTTCAGAGAACCCTACCCACCAGAGTTAGTCTGTGATTCCTAAAATTGTTCTATGACTCCATGTTATTATTAAATTACAATGAATTGGCTGGAAATAGTGGCATTTAAATGCAGATTCTGAAAGAAAAAAGACTTTCTTTCTGTCACTAATACACCACACTCTTACAAAAGATTACTCCCACTACCTACTTGAATAGGTTTTTCCTATTGGAGTGTATCTTTTAAAAAGAACTGTGTCTTCAGAATTGTCTGGATTCTTTGGTTTTGGTGGGATTTTTTTTAACTCATTTCTCTGTAGTTTGCACATTTGTGCTTTTTTCTTTCCATCTCGTTATCTTAACAGAACTCGTACAAGTTCAGAATTAGAATTATTGGGCTGTGATATCTCTACAGTACTTCTTATGACAGTGTAAAATCAATGTGTTTCCAGAGTCTAATTCATTTGATAATGATTGAGACATCTGAGTATGAGGAATCCTGTTATGAAGTTCAATAGTTATGTTGTCAGTAATGTCATATCTTCCACTGGAAAAACCTTTGTTTTCCTCATTTAAACATATTTGTAGCTGGCTATACCATTTGATATGGGGGATAGATAATAATTTAACTGGGTTTTAGTAGTGCTTGTAAAAGAATTTTAAAATAATAATTTGCAAGATGTAAAATGTACAACTTTTAAAGCTCTAGAGAACTTTAAAACTTTGTTCCAAACTTTTATTCATCAGGATATATTGTCCTTATGAACTTTGCAAATCAAAATTTACTCTCCTCACCTAATAGTAATATTGCTGCAAGAAGAAGAAAAAAAAATTATCTTAAAGATGTTGTTTCTGACATTTACAGAGTCCTGGCTTGTTTTTAATCCTTCTGCCAGGAATGTAAGAGTCAGTATACCGGATAATGGGATGAAATTAGATGTAAGAAAAATAAGAGTATCTGACCTTTTTACTGTCAAATATATCACAGTCATATTTCATCCATATACAAATGCTGTGGATGTAAATCCATTTGAGATGTACAAGCAACTTCCTGTTTGTGGCATGGAGGGATTAAGTGACTTCATAACTTCACACAGGATAGCAAAATTATAGAGCTTTATTTTCATGAAGTTCCTGTCTGAAGTTACAGATGCTCAGCACCTCTCAAAATGAGGTGCTGTGCAGAGGCAGCACAATGGTGAGAATAGGTAAGTACAGCCCTGAAGAAGAATAGTTTGTTGAAGTGCATGCCTTGTTCCAGAAAGGAGCCTGAGATCAAATCTGTTTTGAGATTGCTCTTCTACTGGCCATAACTTCATAATTTTAAAATTGTCCAGAGATCTTTTAATTTTCAAGCTTTTATGAAAAGAACAACTAATTGAAGCCAGCCTAAGGCATTTTCTGCAGTTATATACATGAAGATAAATATATTCTAATTTAGCTGATTAATCTATTTTTTCTTTGCATTAACTACACAGAATGTACTTTGAATTCTTTTGTATTATATCATGTAGCATAACTTACATGCTGTGATTTTATCAAGTATTTGGGTCACTCAGACCATAATAGCAATAATAGAAATAATAAGAAAAGGGTTTCTATCTTTATATGAGGCTTTTTTAATTTTACTTTTCTTATCTTTTTTTCTTGTGATTGTTTTTAGCTGTGATAGCATGCAAACCTCTTAAACTTTTGATCCTTCAAACATTTGGAAACAGAAATCTCAGCTGTTTAACAGTGCTTTTATTAAAAGAATTGCATGTCATTTTCAGCTTGTTTGAGAATACTTTATGCAGGAGTTTTGCAAATATTTAAATTTCATTTTGGTAGAAAACATGCTGTATAATACTTCCTCGCTACAGAAATTAATGCCACAAATTAATATATTTTTTCATGGTTTTTTTGTTTAACAGTTTATGAATATACTGCTGAATATACAGGCTGAATATACAGGCTTCAGTATTTGTCAATATACTAAATATACAGGCTGGAAAGCATTCCAGGTGTTCTCATCACTTAAAATATACTCATTCACAGCCAGTAACTATAATAAAAATACTTTATCAGTTCCAAGGTGCATTCATGTCATACTAAAGTAGATCTGCTCTACAAGATGATATATATTTAGCTCTGAGCTGGCTAGGAACCCTCGATTAATTATCTTAATCATTGTAAACACACATTTCAAAAATATCGAGTCAGTGCCTCCCACTCTGTCATTTAGGAGAAAAAGCAAACAATACACTTACTGCAAGACATTAAGACTTAAATATGATTGCCCAAACATAGGAAGACTTGTTTATTTTTCTGGCACACAAATGAAAACTGTCCAAGAGCTGATGGAGGAGCATCACATAGCAGCCAGGAGGAGCCATGGAATTAGAGGCAAGATCTTGTCCAATTTAAACCAGAATAATTCTAGCGAGAGACTGCAGTCTCTAGTTCACCCAAAGGATGGTTCCTGCTCTTACATATAATGTGTCAAGATAGATAAAAGAAGCCCAGGTTTCAGCAAATGCTGAGAGTCTGAGCTATGAAAATCGCGTCAAGCTGAACACCAAACATCATTAGCTACTGTGCTTTTGGTTTTTAGGTGGAAGGAAATCCTGACCTATTGAAATTAACAGAAATTATTTTATTACCATCAATGGGAAAGATCTTAAGCACAGTTGACTCAGTTCAAAGGCATAATTCGGTGCTTCATTTCCAAAAGGGACAATAGAAAATGCAAGGGTTCATCTTGAAGTACTCCATTTGCTTGAACTTTTATTCTCTTCCATTTTGGTCTCCTATTCTGTTTTTGTCCTTTCTTTTAACTTCCATTCATCCCTTGTTGTGGACCACATAAATCATGTCTCAGCCTGAGTCATTAAATACAAGAGTAAAACTTGAAGGCAGGCACAGTGAGCCAAGTGCAAAAAAACAAGATCTAAAAATCAAGAGGCAGTATTCTACAGTTTCTTGATCCAGAAAAAGGAGATGTGACTGACATAAACCAGAGTGTAGGAAGCAGAATAAAGCCAAAGCTTCTGTTTAAAAACATGTTCTACTGTGCTGAAAATACGACTAGTATCAAGAAGTAGTAAGCAAAAACGTGTACAGAAATTCACAGCTTGGATTCTACTGTGTGTTATTTATTAAATCAGGAGCCACTGATATGTTTCTTTGTCCCTGCTTCAGAAGGAAAATAGTGGCATGGAAACAAAAGAAACTTGATAGACCACACACAGTCCACACATGGCATGGACAATGCAATACATCCATCCTGTTGGTTGCCAATATTTAAAAAAGAACAGGTTTTGTATTAACAGAAGAAAGAGAGGTATCTGAATTAAAAAAAAAATTCATATTAGGTTCCTGATACAGTGAAGTACTGATGCATCTCCTATGAAGTGCTGAGTGCTGTTTAGTGCCATTGGAATCTCTCTGGACACAACTGACCTCTATTTAGAGTCACCAGCCAGAACAGCACAGCTTTGATGCAGGAGAGAAGTTCAGCTTTGCCTTGGTATCAGATTCCTAAGCAAACTCGAACCTACTTCTGAAGCATTATGGAAGTCAGTGATTATTCAGCCACAGCTTGAATGGTAAAGTACAAAATTTGGGTTTAATTTGTTGAGGGGTTTTAAAAACAGTGTCACCTATCATCATACACCACCATACTTAATTTTTAATTTATAATAATGGGCTGGTTTTTCAGTTAAAGAGAACGTCTCAATGCCATTGATTGAGTAGGCTTGGATTGTTGTCCCCTCTATCACTGGCCTTGTGGAGTTTGTCCATGACTTCAATACTTGTTTGTGTAAGATCAATACAAGATATGAAAGCAGTCCTACACAGGACTTGGTGTATGTGTATGCAGGGCTTTGCCCTGCACAGAATAGGCTTCTTTCATGTTGATTCCATGATATTGTAACATACATTTTAAAATTTAGCAAAATAGCAGAGAGAAAGAGCAAAGAGATGTGATACTTTTTTCCTGGATTCCTGGTGATACATCACCTTTTAGGTTGAAAATAGAACATGAAGCAACCTCTGTACATTCACTTCATGGTACATAAATTTGACCTATAGCAGTGATAACTTAGCCTTTTGCTCTTTATATAAAGTCAACAGAGAAATAGTATTATTACCTATACAGTTCCTATAGTAAACCACATATTATTAATTAAGAACAGCAAGATGGTGTGATTAGAAATACTTATGGTTTTGGTACTGCAAAACACTCAATGTGGTTTGTATTGCAAACTCTAGTGACATCTCTAGGATGCAAAATAGCCAAGAATTATTATTACATATTTTCCAGAAAGTCTTTTAGAATAAAAAATGAAATTGAACACTTAAGAAAATATGTGGGAGCTGTAGGAAATACTGTGTTATCTTTTATTAGATTATACTGGCATCAAGGGCGAAAAAGCTTTAAAAGAAAGATCAAAATATGAAAATAACATGTACAGCTTTATAAATTCTTTGTGTATGTGTATGTGCATGCATCATATAAATTGACCAATTTGAAATAGTATTTATTTTTAAGATATATAAATTAATATCTTTAAGAAAATTGCACTAGCAAATGTGGCACCAGTTTAATACATATGCACATACCTAATCCACTCATATAAATGTTTATCTGCTTTTTTGATCTGAAGCTCACATCTAAAATTTTCTTGCTAAAGGCAGCCCCATATAAAGACTGGGAAACAATAAAAATCCTACAACAAACTTTTAACAGGCCTGAAGAATTAAGTACCAAATAACCAGAGGATTGTGATCATTACTTTAAATCAGAAGTGAATATCAGAAAGTGAAATTAAATATAAAAATGTTACATTGTTGCATTGTCCACATAAGCACAATTTATATATGAAATTTACCCTTAGAA